TGTGTCCAGATTCCTGTGGGCAGAGGAGGACAGAGACAGGCAGGTCACACCCTGGCCCTGGGGTAAGCTCTGGGCTGCCCAGAAGTGGGGGCTGTCTGTTTAGAAAAGGAGAAAAGTGATACAGGGGAGACAGGGAAGAAAGATCTGCTGGAATCAGGGTCGCCAGCTCCTCTGCACACCCGCAGCGCCCACTGTGGGGTTTGGTCTTTCTCCCTGGCCTGCCTCAAGAGTAGGGGTCCCTTTTGGCCCAGCATTCCCTGATGGTTTTTAAGTTGGCTTCTGGTTTTTCTGTTGTTCAGGATGTTCCAACCACTAAGAAAAAAATCAGGGGGAGGGTTGCCACAGGCAGTTCAGATTCTTGCCCTGGCTGTATTTTTATTTCAATGGAAATAAATTTATAGGAATCTCTCCAGGGTTTGGGGGGCACCCAGCCCAAGGTCAGACACTTGTCCTGGGTCAGGGAGTGGGGTGGGGGTTGTGTCTGATCTACTCCCAGCCTGACCAAGCAAGGCTGGCTTTCTCATCAATTTTATGAGGCTGTTGGTTTGGAAGGGAAGGAGAGAGGATGTTGTGACTTGAAATCAGGAAGGTGGAGCAGCTTGGGGTGGGGGGAAGAAGTCTGGGGTGCTGGGAACACTGGAGCCACAGACAGACATGGGGCTGGCTAGGGACACAATGGCTTCCCTGCTCTCAGTTTTATTACCCATCTGGGACCACTGCAGGGATCAACACTTTGGCCCTTGACCCCTGACCGCTGACCCCTAACCCCTGCCACTCTCCCACCCATCTATGGTCCATGAACTCCCCCCCAGACACTTTTTCTGGGCTTTCTAGGTTGTTTATGGAACCACAGAGAACAGTCCCGTGACTTTCATGAATTTCCCTGAGGACACCCTGGAGCAGAAGGCGGAAAGTGTGGGCAGGGTGATGCCGCACACCGAGGTGAGCTGGATGCAGACCCCCAGAGCCCTGCCCCCACCCCATGGAGGGTCATCTGCTGCCCACTCTTAAAGATGCATACCGCTTGCTGAAGGTGCCAGAGCCCACCGCAGGGTTCCGCTGGGCCTGCCAGGCTCTGTCCTGCAGCTCTGGAGGGGAAGAGCTGGGACAGCGGCCCTGAGTGGCTGCCAGCCGAACCTCTCCGCAGCCTCCTTTCCTGTCTGAGGTGTGTTTTTGCCAAGCCCACTGTCTGTTTTGGGGCAGCCAGGGTCGCCGCAGAGAGGAGCCAGGGCACAGATTTTTCCTACACAGTTCTTTCTTCTCCATGGGCCGCGCCCTCTCACTCCTGCAGAATTCTTCCTGGGCCTGGGCATCAACGCTTGGTTTCCCTGTGTCCTGGCCTTTTGGGGGTCCTGTGTGCCTCACCCTCAGGGCACACCTCAAAGTCCAGCTTCCAGTCCAGGCTTCTCTGCTGCTTCAACACTGGCACTTGCTGGAGGTGACCTGTGTTTTGCTGCCACTAGCCAGGGTACTCGCACTTGGGACTGACAGCCACCTACCACCTGTCTTGGGGTGCCCCCACCGTAAGATAGCTGGGCGGGTTTAGTCTGGCCCGCAGCCCAGGGGCAGACACTGAGGCACAGAGTCTCAGCGCCCCATGGCACTGGCTTCTTCGACTGTTCCTTGTTCACATAGTGCTGCCGCGCCACCCTCTTTGGCTTCTTAATTTAAGATGCTGCTTAACGGAAAAGGAGAGGAGACTGCCTTCTGCATGGTTTATAATTCTGCAGCTGGCATGGCGCTGCTCAGCTGCCTTCCCTGTGACAGCTCCCTGTGTCCCCAGCACCCCTGCCCGGGGCTCACTGGGCTTTTGTGTCCAGCTCAAGCTGCTGCCTGTGGATGGGTCCACTCTCTTCCCTAGAACGGATGGGCAGAGCTGGGGCCCTCATTAGTGTGTCGGGGGACAAACTCCCCCGGCCCCGAGTGTTGCCCAGGCTGAAGCTGCCCTGTCCCAGGCCCAGATCGTGAACGTGGAGACCGGGGAGCTGGCCGCGCTGCACACGCCTGGGGAGCTGTGCATCCGGGGCTACTGCGTCATGCAAGGCTACTGGGCCGAGCCGGAGAAGACCTTTGAAGCAGTCGGGCAGGACAAGTGGTACCGGACAGGGTGAGATGGCAGAGTGGGGCTCTTTCTGGGGCTCTGAAGGCTGAGCTGGGGACGTTAAACTAGCATAGGAAGCCGGGGTGCCCAGGGTCCCACCCTGGGGACTTAATTTCTGAGACATAAACAGTATAGGGAACCACACCAAGCACTAAGGCAAGATGTGAGAGCGGGGCTCTCCCCCTGCAGCCCCGAGGTCAGAGCCAGGATCTGGCTGCTCACTGGTTAGCTTGGCATGTTCTCATCCTGTCCCGAGTGCCGGATGTGTGCCTGGCCCGGGGGCCCATGGAGAGCAAGGGGAGAAGGACACAGCTGTTACCTCCCTCTGGGCTGGGAGAGGAACACAGACAAGTTCAGACATCAAAAAGTTAAGCTGCATGTGGTAGTACATCTCTGTAAACTCAACCTTCAGAAGGCTGAGGCAGGAGGCTTGTTGTGAGTTCAGGGCTAGCCTGGGGTATATAGTGAGACCCTATCTCAAAAAAACAAGGCAAAAGTGTTACCCTGATAGTAAAACCAAAGCAGGACGCAATCAAAGAAGAGAACTACAGCCAATCTCCCTAAGGAGCACAGAGGCAGAACTCCTCAGTAAAATACTGGAAAACAGAATGCAGCAAATCATCAAGATTATACACTGTGACCAAATAGGATTCATCCCAGGGATGCAGGGATAGTTCAACATACACAAATCAATAAATGTGGGGCTGGGGAGATGGCTCAGTAGAATGGGTGCTTGTCTGGCAAGTGCAAGGGCCTGAGTTCAATCCCCGGTTCCGGGGAAAAAAAAAAAATCAATAAATGTGATACACTATATCGAAAGAGCCTGGGACAAAAACCATGTGATCATATAAATAGATGCAGAAAAAGTGCCTGACAAAACCCCACAACCATTCATGATAAGAACTCTGCAGAAAATTGGAATAGATGGCTTTTATCTCACTTTGATAAAAGCCATCTCTGACAAACCAACAGCCAACATCATGCCAAATGGACAAAAACTGAAAGCTTTCACTCTAAAGTCAGAAACAAGACAAAGATATCCATGGTCACCACTCTTATTCCTAGTTCTGGACACACTAGCCAAAGCAATTAGACAAGAAAAAGGAATAAAGATAGGAGGGCTGGGGAGATAGTTCAGTGGCGTAAGTGCTTGCCTGGCAAGCACAAGGTCATGAGTTCAATCCCTGATACTGCAAAGAAAAAAAGAGCAAAGATGGGGCCAGGGATATGGCTCAGGGGTGCAGTGCTTTCCTGGCAAGAGTGAGGTCCTGGAGGTCCTGAATTCAGTTTCTGGTACCAAACAAGACAAAAATATTTAAAAAAAAAAAAAAATTAAAACAGAGACCTGTGAAATAGTTCAGCAACCTAAGTACCTGCTTGGCAAGTGCAAGGACCTGGGTTCAATGCCTGGTGCCACAGGCCATGCCAGCCCCACGCAGAGCTGGCCACAGAAACCAGGCATGGTGGTGCACGCCTGTAATCCCAGTGCTGGGGAGCTGAGGCAGGAGGGTCACTACAAGTCTGAGCTGCATAATGAGACCTTGTCCCAAATTTATTTATTTATTTATTTTGGTACCAGGGATTAAACTCGGGACCTCTCACTTCCCAGGCAGGTGCTTATGCTGCTGCGCTGTCTCCCAGACCCCAAATTCTTTAAAAAAATAAATAAATAAATAAAAATAAGGAATAAAGGTAGAGGACCAGCTAGATAGCTCAGTGGACTAAAGCACCCGCTTAGGCAGAGCACAGCAGCTGGGGTTTGATCCCCGGCATGCCAAGCTGGCCCCACCCCCAGGGCGTGCTGAGATGGTGACTGAGACTGGGCATGGTGGCGCGCCTGTAATCCCAGCATTTGGGAGGCTGAAAACAGGAAGATCAGCATGAGTCCAATCTGTGTAGTGAGACCCTATAAGACCCTATACTACATACATAAAAAAAGAATAAAGACAGGAAAGGAAGAAAATAAACCATCATTATTTGCAGATGACATGATACTCTACATAAAAGACCCCCAAAACTCCACCAAAAGACTTCTAGATTTAATAACCAAATTCAGTAGCATATGGCTGAATACGAAGTCAACACCCAAAAGCCAGTAGTATTCCGGTTTTAAAAAATTTTTTAAAAAGAGATGGGATGGAAAAAAAAAAAAAAAAAAAAAAGGAAAGGTATCCCTTGTTCTTGGGTAAGAAGCAGCAATATAGTGAAATGACCACATTCCCAGGATTGTTACACAGATTTAATGCGACCGTGATCAGAATTCCAACAGCATATGTCACAGAATTAGAAAAAAATGTTCATAAAATTAATTGGAGACCAGAAGAGACCTAAAATAGCAAAACCAACACTGGGCAGCAAAGGCAAGGTAGAGGCATCGCAATCCCTCGCTTGCAATTATAAAGCTACTGTGATAAAAAGTGTTAAAGAAAAACAGGCCCAGGGACCAGGGAGACAGCTCAGTAGAATAAGTGCTTGCCTGGCAAGCGCAAGGGCCTGAGTTCAATCCCCGCTTCCACCAAAAAGAAAGAAAGAAAAAAAGAAAGAAAGAAAGAAAGAAAGAAAGAAAGAAAGAAAGAAAGAAAGAAAGAAAGAAAAGAAAAACAGGCCCATAGATCAACGAAACAGATGAGAAGACGCAAAAACAGCTCAGACACACTCAGCCAGCTCATGACAAAGGGGCCAAACACCTTCACTGGAAGAAAGAAAGCCTCTTTAATAAAACTGGTGCTGGGAAAACTGGCTTTCCACATGCCAAAGATTAAAACTACACCCCTCTCTTTCACCATGCACTAAATTAAAATCAGAATGGATGAAAGATCTAAATATGAAAACAGAAACCCTAAATCTGCTGGAAGATAAGACTAGGTAGAACTCTTGAGGCCACTGGTGTAGCCAGACACTTTATGGACAAAGCCCCAGTCATACAAGAACTATCATAAAGAGTCAACAATAAGATGAATGGGGGGGCCAGGGAGATGGCTCAGGAGGATAAGCGCTTGACTGGCAAACGCAAGGATCTGAGTTCAATCCCCGGTTCCGCCAAAAAATAAAATAAAATAAAATAAAAGATGAATGGGATCTCATCTTATTTGAAAAGGTTTCACACAGGAAGAGAAACCACCAACAGACAAAGAGACAACCCACAATGTGGTGGAAAAAAAAGTGTTTGCCAGCTGTCCCTCAGACAAGAGACTACTAGCTAGAATATATAGAAAAGTAGAATACATTTTTAGACACCCCCAATTTAAAGACCATGCCCCAAAATGGGCATCAAAGATAAACATATACTTCTCAAATGACATCAAAATGGCAAATAAATATTTAAAAAATGTTGAGCATCACCTGTCATTTGACAGATGCAAATTAAAACAACACTGAGATTCCATCTCACTCAGAAAGAATAGCTGTCATTGAGAAATCAACTAGTAGCAAATGCTGGTGATGCTGTGGGGAAAAAGGAACTCTTTTCCAGTGTTGGTGGATGTGTAGACTGTTATGACTGCTATGGAAATTAGTGTAGCAATTCCTTAAAAAAACTAAAACTGTCCAGGCATGGTGGCACACACCTGTAATCCCAGCATTCAGGAGGCTGAGGCAGGAAGCTTGCCAAGAATTCAAGGCCAACCTGGGCCACATAGTAAGTTCAAAAGCCAGCAAGAACTAGAGTGAGACTCTGTCTTGAAACAAATAAAAGAACAAAAATCTAACTGGAAGTCTCATTGGACCCAGCTGTTCCCCTTTTTTGGTCTTATTGAAATAAAAAGTATCACAGCATAGTGATACATTGCACATCCACGTTTATAATAGCCCAGTTTATGGTAGCTAAATCTTGGAAACAGCCCAGGTGCCCATCAACCAATGAAAGGATAAAGATGTGTGAGTTTTTTCTTTTAATTCTTTTTTTTT